TGCTCATGTCAATCCTGTGTGGCCGCTTTTGCCTCCTCTCCACTTTATAGCAGAGGATCTACAGGCTTAGCGAGGTCAGTTACACCTAGGGTTCCCAGACTTGGCTGCATTTTAAAATCACCTAGATCTTTAATAAAATACAGATGCCTGACTCCCACCCTCAAATATTTTAATTTAATTGGGAGGGGTATGATCAAGGCATCCAAATTTTTAAAAGCTTCCTAAGGGATCTTAATGTGCAGCATCAGGAAGCATTGGGCTAAGATTGGCTTAAGGTCAGAGATCTCATTGGTAGAACCAAAACTTGGCCCAGGTCTGACTGGTTCCAGAACTCCAGTTTTTGATCACTGCATGCTGAGAAGGAGGCCTGGTATAGACAAGGTCTTGGAGGATGGACAGTTTCAGTAAGCAGGGGATTGAGCATAGGGCAATCCAGGGGCATATGTCCACATGTGTGTGAATGGAAGTAGGTGAATGCAGTAATAAGCAAACAGAAAATGGGTTGAATACTTACCAGGCACTGTATTAATAAGAGCTTGATGCCTCTGTGGCACCAAGTTCTCAGAGTATGGCATTTTTCTGTGGCATTTTTCTCAGAGTATGGCACATGTTAACTTTTTTAATCTTCACAAAAACTCTGAGCTAAGTTCTGTTTTGAGTTCTGCTTCACAAGTGAAAAACTTGAGGTTCAAAATGTTTATAACTTGTTTAGAGTTACACAGCTAGTAGGTAGGCTAGCGCCTGAATTATGTTCCTAACCACTATCCTATGCTACCTCTTGTACTAAGGATGTGCTAAGCGTTTTCATATTTGCCAGGCACTGCACTAAGAGCTTTACATTCTTGACTTCTTGTAATACTTGCAAAACTCTTATGAGAAGTACTATTGTTATAGTTGAGGAGACTCAGACGCTTTCCCAAGGTTCTATAACTAGTAAGTGGTGAAGCAGAAATTATTAGTATAGTCTGGCTTCATAATCCATGTCTTAACCATTCTCAATGTTTTAAAATATTAGAATGATTTAAATGTTCAAATTAAATCCCAAGTGGAATGCCATGTGTAAAACAAATAAAAGTAGAATAATTGCATTTGATTGTGGGATGGTAGACTCAGACCTCTGCTGATTCACACTACTCCTCCCATTCCACTAACTTGTTGACTAGCCCCTAGACACCTTTGTGGAATCCCTGGTGATCTAGGGAACATACTTTGAAAGTCACTACTATGGTCCAGGCATGATGGCTCACACCTATAATACTAGCATTTTGGGAGGCTGAGGAGGGAGGATTGTTTGAGGCTAGGAGTTTGACCTTAGGCAACATAGCAAGACCGTGTCTTAATTTTTAAAAAATTACTGCTGTGGATAATCAGATACTTTGTGATGCTGGATCCAGGCCAGTGATAATTTTGAAGAACATTGATGGTTTAGGCATGTTTTCCTGACAATGGGGAGACTAGTTGTGACAATAATTTCTGTGGGACATCTTGGAATCCCAGACCTGTGGGGTTCAGCTCAAAGATATACTCTAAGATACACAGTCAAAACAGCTGAAAAAAAATCAAAAGAGAAGTCCAACTTTCAAGTTGTGTTTTTGGGAAACTTTGAATTAGGTTAGGAATAACACCTAGCAACTTTCTTCTTTACCTGGTCTCTCCTCCCCAATTCTCCTATTTGACCCTCACAACAAAATAAAACCTCTGTCTCAAATCTCAAAGCTCTTTCTTCTTTCTTACCTTACTTCTTTCTCCTGTTTTCTAGTATGTGGATCATCTTAGGCTGAGCTCCAAAGCCCATTCCTTTATGCCCAGTTTCATGGCTCCACTTTGCTACTCATCTGCTAATTGTATTCCATAAAATCCAGGAACAAACTGCCTGAGAAATATGCTCTGATGGGGGCGGGGGGAGATGTGTTTTTGCATGTATAGTTATTTAGAACCCTATCATATCTGTGGGAGGGGAAGCAACCTGAGCTTGGGGTATCAAAGGTAACGGAGAAGGGAATGGTGGATCCAAGAAGTGCTTCCAAAATAGAGCTATAGGACTTGATGAGGAATGAAAAAAAATAAAAGAAGAAGGAGAAGGAAGAGGAATGTGACTCTGAGTTCTTAAACATGAGTGACCGAGAAAATGTCAGTGTTAAACCAAAATGGTGGATGTGTTAGGGGTAGCAGGTTGGGAGGGTGGAGACAGATGGTGGAGATTTGGTTTAAGCAGGTGTTCAGGGATCAGGAATTGGCTTTTTGGTCTTCCTCAGTTTAAAATTGTATTAAGACATCCAGATGGAAGTGGTGCAACAGGTTTTAAGGTACGTGTGAAAGAGGTTAAGTGCACTAAAGGACATAAAGGTTGGAGAGGTATCCGCATAGAGGTGACAGCCAAAAGCTGTGGGACAGAACTCAATGCATCTCTTGAGTATTTATGTGGATGGGAAAAATGTCTCTGGAACAGAGTCGCAAGGGGAAGGACGATGCAGTTATGGACTGTAGGAAGATGAGGAATTTGCAGAAGACAGGTAGACAGTGCTTTAGTCCACTTGGGCTGCTATCAAAAAATACCATGGACTGGGTGACTTATAAACAACAGAAATTTATTTCTCATCATTGTGAAAGTTGGGGAGTCCAAGATCAAGGTGCCAGTATGGTTGAATTCTGGTGAGGGCTGTCTTCTGGGCTGCAAACTGTTGACTTCTTTCTGTGCCCTCACATGGTAGCAGGGGCACACAAGCTCCCTTGGGCCTCTTTCATAAGATACTCAAAGGGTACAGTTATTGTTTGTAAAATGTTAGAAAAAAATAATGGTCATGTTAAGACTAGAAAAGAATATCTGAGGCCAGGGCCCCATATGGTCCTCAGTGTGCAATACTCGCTGTCCAGGGGCACGTGAATCAGTGGAAAGCCTTGCCCTGAAAAACCATTTCAAAAGTCTGCTTCCAATGTGCTGAGAATGGCAGTCTCACCTGACTGATGCTAGGAGTTATTGATGCTGAAAGTCAGCAGCATCTTTATCAATCTCTGGGTTTTATCTCCTAGGTGCTCGAGTTTTTCCGTGTAGTTACTGCTGAAATGACTGGAGCAGCCTGCAAGTCATTACTCTAATGTGTAATTTAAAGTTGCGTTAATGTAAAACTAGCTGTTGCCTGCTGCATGCAGTCAGATGGCAGGTGAACTAAGAACTTGGAAACCCAGCTGAGACAGGTCAGCTTCAACTGAGAGGGATTCCGCAGATGAGAATTCTGGAGACCTCCCCTTCCTCTGGAATCAATATGCTAAAAACAAAGAACAATTTGTGACAGGAAATGGGGTCATGAGGACGCAGGTCATCTCATATAGCAGGTCGGGCAAACTATTTGAATTGGCATTTGGAAGGACCGTAATTTTGATATTTATTTTTGTAATGACAATAGGGAAAAAATGGAGGGAGGGAGAAGAAAACTAAAAACTGCTTTAGCATCATCAGGGATTTCTTTGTAGAAGAGTTTCTGGTCATATTTATGTTCTATGAACTTACAAGAGAAACTACAAAATTTATTATTGCTTTTTAAATTTTATATATTTGTACAGTTAAATAATATTGTTACTTTTCTACCACTAATAGGTATGGTTCTGTGACTTTGTGCATTTCATAGGTTATCCTTCATATTCTTGCTTTTTAAACTGTTTTTTGTTTTTGCTTTGATTTAAATTACATGGTCATTAAGTTTCCTCTTTTTATCAGGGCAAAATGGAGTGTTTTCTAAACCTTAAAAGCATATAATTTACCTTGGATATGAACTATAATGCTTATTCTGAATAAATTCCATGTAAAACTGCAGAAATTATATAGAAAGTCTTTATGAATTGGAACTTAACATGTCATTGACACATTTTGAAGGGCGTTCTGTTGGCTTTAGTGATGGATGAGCCTATTCTGCCAAGTTCAGCTGGAAGGGGTGGTTTAGAAAGCCAAACATCAGCTCTGGAATCTAGAAACTTCCTGGAATCATGAGTTCGGATCAGCAGGGTGGATGCAGCCTGCATCTGTGCTAGGGATGGCATTTCACCGGCTTGCTCCACGGAAGTCTCTGGAACATAACCATAAACACCAGCCCTCTTTGTTGTGTGTTAGCTTTTAAAAGTCCCCAGTGGTTTGGAGAGGGTAAGGCCTTGCCTCGGGGATTCCTGGTCCAATTTTTTGGGACCTGGCTGAAAACCCTGGATATTTGATAGTTTGGCTTATTTCTATGGTGTATTAGCACCCTATAAAAGTTACATGTCATTTATTTCAAGTTTAGAACCCTCTCAAACTTCAGGGGCAGACCAAACTTGAACCTTTTGTGGCTGGAATTCTGTTTACTTTTGGCCAAACTTTGCTTCCTGAATGTAAGGCACAGAGGTGAGGTGAAAGGGGCTCCCCAGGCCCCCGGACACTGAATAGGTTTTACCCAACAAGACTTTGATAGGTTAAAATGTAAATGAGTCTATAACATGTAGATTAACTTTCTGTCAAAGTGCTCTGGGTCCTACACACAAAAGTATATTGTGCCAGGGAAAATGCATTTTGAATGTTGCCTTCCTTCAGCAGTGAGGAAGTATCTGAGATTTTTGCCAAACACAGGTTGAAATTGGGTCAAGACACTCATTCTCCATTTCTAATAAATGCATTTTGAATGTTGCCTTCCTTCAGCAGTGAGGAAGTATCTGAGATTTTTGCCAAACACAGGTTGAAATTGGGTCAAGACACTCATTCTCCATTTCTAATAAATTTCTAAATAAATTAAATAGTATCTACAAAAGTTATTGGGCAATGCAGTTGAATGCGAACCTCAGAGAAGTGTGGACATTCCTCGTGTTTGAAGCATTTATTTTTGATGTGACCAAGAAAGAAAGGGCTCTAAGACACAGTGCCTAGTCCTTGGATACCTGTGATGCCTTTGCATTTATTGTTGGAACACAGGCTAGGAAGGAGTGCCTTGTGCTTGAATGAAGGAGAAATAACACACAGAGCTCCATGTGCCTTTCAGATAGAGGAACTGATGAATGCGTTGGAGAAGACCAGACAAGAATTGGATGCCACCAAAGCACGCCTCGCCTCCACACAGCAATCCCTGGCAGAAAAAGAAGCACACTTAGCCAATCTTCGGATAGAGAGGAGGAAACAGCTGGAGGAGATTCTGGAGATGAAGTGAGTACCCACTATTGCTTTCCTTGGCTCTCTCTTCTAACCTCTGTTTAAGAGTGGGAAAGGGGAAGGGATAGAGAAGAGGACGGAAGAGCTTGGAGAAAGATTGAGTTAGCTAACACTTGACTAGTCATTTCTGAGACTACTTTTCTTATTTTTAAAATTATAACTTTGGTGTCTCAATTTGAACATTTTCCACATCTGTCATTTAAAAAAAAAATATATCCAGCATTAGATGTGTGTCTGTGATTTGTGGACGGCATTTGGTATTCATAGATCTGTCGCAAATGTCTGAGTCAGCCAAGAGACACAGGCCTTGTTAAGCACAATGGTAATTTGAGTGCTGCTCAGAGTTAAGTGGAAACTTTTCTGAGGAGGTATTTCCTAATTGTGACTATAACTTTGCTAATTATATTCTTTTCACTTGTGTACAATGACTGGCTTGTGTTGGTTTTCATAGAGTTTCAAGGTTGACACCTCTTTGTTTAGAAAGCAGAACTCTGATTTGCTAGGCTGATAAAAATGGGTTGGAAATCCCACACATACTTCTCCACACACACGGTGGTGGGGTTGGTTGGGTAGGCAAAGAGGAAGACTGGATTGAAATCAATGCTCCTTTCTTTGATTTACTCAGTAATGTAGGGCTGAGTGCTCGGAAATGGTTCTTCCTCTGGTCCTGACACACACACATATACCTAGCTCTTATTTCATTCTCACAATGAAATAATATCATCATGGAAGAGTGGAGGGAAGAAAATTACTGAAAATGTTTAATAATAATCATTTGCAATATATCTGACTAAAGCACTAGTCAAGTAGCAGTCTCTATGTAAGTTTTAAAATGAAATAATCACTAAGATATAATTTTAATCTAACTTCCTTCCACAATAAGGGGAAACATACATAGTTACGGCATCCTCAGCCTGTAACACAGACTTTGAAATCAGTGGCTAAGTATGGAAGTGACCTTATCGTGACCCAGCAAGTCTTATGCATGGTTAATATTCAACCCAGAAAACTTAGATCATGGAAAATATGGAATGAAATTTTTTGAAGGATTTAATAATGAAAGCAAAACCTTTATTCCTCATCAACAACCTCAGTTTCTCCAAGAACAAAGAATAAGTCATTTTTTTAAACATATAAACTAGAATTTTTCCCCAATAAAAGATGATATGATAAAAACAGATATTATACTCAGTTTAAAGGTGAGGGAACTGAAGACTCGAAAAGATTCACATAATTTTTAAGGCCATCTGGCTAGGATAAAATCCAAGTCATCCACCTTGAGTTCCCTCTCTACTACCTCATTTTCTCAAGGAGCTTATGTGAGCTTCATCGGGTCTGAAATTTTTGTCTGTTTGAGTCACTGCAGTAATCATGCCGTGTAGAGCAGTGCTGGGCATGTGATAGGTACTCAATCATTGTTGCCTAGGACATTATCTGGCATAGGAGAGGTGCTCAATTGTTTGTTGAACGTATGAGTAAATTGAATGCTGGAGACTGAGTTTTATGTAGCTAAGAAGTATTTTAAGTATCTGTGTGACGTTATTACCTTGATCAAGAATTTATTAACACCACTAGAAGCATACATGTTGATAAGTGCAGCATGCCTTGATGTTTGTCAATATTTATTGTTACTTAAAAGATAAAATTAAGGAGTTGTTTTTGGAAGATGTATGTTAATTTAGATTAATTTAAATTTTGCCTAGAAAAAAATATTGAGAATCCTTTATGTGTGCACTCAGCTGAGAAAGGCCAAAAGTGTAGTGTAATATTAAATCACTAAAGAAGCAGTAATATTCAAAATGGAAAGTCCATTTATGAACATATCAATATTAGAATCTAAAGCTATGTCTTTTTATAATGTCTATACACAGGCCATAAAATGGTTTGTTTTAAGAAAGTTCCCATTCTTCAGTCTTTGTTCTGTTTCATTCACCTGTCCCATTTCTGCCTCCTTATGTGTTATTACATGTCAAGTCCAGTCTAGTTTTTCTCCTTGTTTTCCAGCTGTTCCCAAGTTAACTCCACAGCCTCTGAAGTGATTTATTATGCCATTGTAGGGAAAACTTTCATTATTTCCTGTTTACAAAAAGAGCATACACATTTTGAGAGAACAAGTAATGGCGAAGTATGCTGGTTTGAGAGTCATCAGCCCTGGGTTGGAACCCTGTGGCTTCTGCTTGGTTGCTGTGTGACCTGGGAGAAATGTCCTTGACCTCACTGACCCTACAGTTTCCTTTTATGACTTGCATGGGGGTGGTTGTGAGAAGCACTCAGCAGAGGACTTGGCACACAGAAAATGATGTATGTGTGTAAATGGCACTATCAGCCAATGAAAATGTCATTTGTTTCATATGCTTTGTGAAGAGTATCATTTGTCTAAAACTTGGATTTATTTTTCTAAAACATATAAACCTTTTCCATGTGTATGTTTTCCCACTTAACTTCATAATTTCAGATAGCACCTAACTAAGACCTCTTTTGGTGAACTGCCACATTATTGCTGAAATGCTTAATCTGCTGCCACTGCAAAATAAATACAAAATTCCTCTGTTAATTCCTTTGGTAAAAGTAACAAAGCCCTGCTTCATTAAGCCCAATATGGACCCTATTCACTATTTAACTGACCCAGAAGCCCAACTTTTGTGCTTCTTTCCTGGAAGTATTGGAGGACACAGGTACAGGGTAAGAATATTGACTGAGACCCCCAACTAGGTTCGCCAGTCTCCTGGACTGTTCAAGTTGACCAACTGGTTTGATTAATCATGTGTTTTTTGTTTTGTTTTGTTGTTTTGTGTTCAGTTGGGAGTGCCTCACTCTGTTGCTCAGGCTGGAATGCAGTGGCATGACCACAGCTCACTGCAGCTTTAACCTTCTGGGCTCAAGTCTCTCTCCTAGCTCAGTCTCCCGAGTAGTTGGGACTACAGGTACATACCACCACACCTGACTAATTTTTTTTATTGTTGTACAGAAGAGGTCTCACTATGTTGGCTAGGCTGTTCTTGAATTCCTGGACTCAGGCGATCCTCTTGTCTCAGCTCTCAAAGTGCTGGGATTATAGGTGTGAGTCACTGCACCCTGCTGGATCAATCATGACGTTTAAATTGAATGGACACACAGGTTACTTGACATTGATGGAATCCATACAGATGAGTGCGAACAATCAGATGGGCATTGTCATTGTTTGTACTAGGTATCACTCTATGCCAAGCATTGTTGGTTTTTCATTCAACTGGCATCCACTGTGCAAGCTAGGTCTACCCTATTTCCAAACCATGGTGGGAAGGGAGAGACTGTGTGCTGTTAGAGGAAAGAGGAGTGAGACCATGAGTCAAGAAAAAGGAGATGTGACCTCATAACTCATTTTTGTCTCACCCCATAATACTAAAGATCACTCTCTGGTTACCTTAGTTTTCTCTTCGGTAAAATGGAGGTGATAATACCTGCCCTGCTTACTACAGAACTTTGTAGGGACAGGAATTTTTTTTAAAGCACCAAACTAAAATTAATACAAACCCAGCATATGTGAAATTGCTTTGGAACATAAAAGGGGCTTTTAAAATGAGAATGTCTGTTAAATTCATCGCAAAATAAAGTGACACAGAGTTTTAGAGTTGGAAGGAGCTGGGTCCAACCTCCCAGCCTGCATAAACCAGACTCACATTCACAGTATTTCTAATAAGGAATTCACCAGGCCCCAGTGAACATCATTCCCACTGGAGACCACAGGCTCATAAGGTGGTGGTTCACATTCCACGACTCTTAAAGGTAGGTCATTCAACCTTAGACTGAACTGAAATGTCTTTCTATGTGATCTTCTCACTTGTCTTGATTTTTGTTCCAGAGCTATACAGAATTCACCTAAACCCCACCTATAGAAAGGATGACCCATTAGTATTTGTTAGATAATATGGTATATTTTAGAAAAAAAGGGAAACATGGAGAAGCAGTACGAAAAAATAAAATCTCCCATGATCTTCACATGCAGAGATAGAAACTAATGGCATACTGCTGTTTACCTTTACAGATGCTTCTTATTTTTAAGAGAAAATTAGAATGTACTTGCATATTTTGTAAGTCATTCTTCTTTTACTTAATGTGAACAACTTTCCATAACATTTCCTGTCACAGACATAGAATTATATTCCTTTTTTTTTAAAAAAATAGGATCTAGCTCTGTTGCCCAGGCTGCGGTGCAGTGGCATGATCCTAGCTCTGCAGCCTTGAACTCCTGAGCTCAAGTGCTTCTTCTGTCTCAGTCTCCTCAATAGCAAGGACTATAGGCATGTGCCACTACGCCTGGTTAATTTTTTGTTTTGTAGAAATGGGGTCTTGCTATGTTTCCCAGACTAGTATCAAACCCCAGGGCTCAAGCAATCCTCCTGCCATGGTCTCCTAAAGTTCTGGAATTACAGGTGTGAGCCACCAAGCCCAGCAATAATTGTATTATTTTCAATTATTCAATATAGCATCATATAGATTTACCCCACTCTTGGTCATCTATCTTGGTTCCAGTGCTTTACTAATATAAATAATATTTTGATTAGCATCCTGCTGTTTAATTTTATTTTATTAGCATATTTTTAAAATAACTGTAGATTGACATGCTGTTGCAAGAAATAGTACAAAGAAGTCTCTTGTACACTTCCCTCATTTTTGTCACTGGTAACATCTAACATAGTTACAGTTATAGTATCACACAAGGAAATTTATATTGGTACCATCTACCAACCTTCAAATTTCTCCAGTTTTACATATCTACCAACATTATTCAGATTGCTTGTTTCACATGCACTTCTGTGTATGTGTGTCTGTGTATTTATTTGGTTATAAGCAATTTTAACACATGTATAGACCTGTATAACCATCACCACTCAGGATGCAGATCATCAGCACAATGATCTCTGGAGTCATCTTTTGGTAGCCACATCAACTCCCTGGCTGTTTCATTTCTAACCTGAGTTTTGTTTCGTGTTATATCATTTTGCATCATGGGC